AACCCAGGGACTGTGACTCCAGAGCCCACATTATTCACTGGGCTGTGCTCTCTTGGGTCCTAGCAAGGCTACAAGGGATGAGGAATTTAGTGGTCATTGCTTAAACAGTAGTTATCACATTCCATTCACCTAACCATTTCCAAGAAACTGTAATAAGCTCAGAAGTTGTTATTTGGTTATGGAAATGTTAAAAAAGAAGAAATGTCAATAGATTAGAAAAAAGTAAGGTTAATACCCAAATAGTGTTGTAGATAGTTGGACAGGCAATGATGCTGACATCATCTAGTTCAATCCCTTTCTTTTCCACTGTGTCAACTGAAACCTACTTGTAATTACATTTAGAAAATGACAAACCCATGCATTCTCATGCTGAGTATGGAATTTTCCCTTGAGTATGCTGTCTTTTGGAATCTGGACATGAAGTTCTTGGAAGCACAGTTTGTACTTAAGAAGTGTTATGTTATTAGCCTTGCTACTCTGTTCTCACCTCTCCTGTAAGCTTCTATCATCTCCCCCCTCGCTAACCAGCTCACCTCAAGAGTTCTGAGATCCATCTACCAGCTGCTCAGGCAGTAGTTGGGGACAGTCAAGGATTAGTTCAGTTCAGTTAAAAAATATTTGCTAAATGTCAGAATACTGTGGCTCGGTGGTAGAGCATTTGCCTAGCATGTGTGAGGCACTGGGTTCGAGTCTCAGCACCGCATAAAAATAAATAAAATAAAAGTTCATTGGCAACTAAAAAATATTAAAAAAAATAACTAGCACGTGAAAACTCTGGCATGTCCATTTTAAATGAATGGATAAAGAGATATACTATACACATGCATATTATATGTAATTTAGCCCTAAATTGCAAAGATAGCCTGTCATGTGTACCCAGGGGACATTATGTTAGTCAGAGTCAGAACAACTAAGGTTGATCTAACTTAAATGTGGAATATAAAATGTCAAACACATAAAAGCAGAGAGCAGAGTGCTGCTGTTAAGGCCTAGAGAAGGAGAGAAGATGGGAAAGGCTACAAGGAAGCCTGGGTGCTTTGTAGTTGTAGTAAAGGCTACAGAGTTCCAGTGCGTGAGATAAATGAAATAGAGCATGGTAGCCACAGTTACCAAGACTGTATTGTATACTTGACATTTCCTAAAAGGATAGGTTTTTAGTGTTCTAACCACAAAAATAAGTGAAAGAAAATAATAGCTATCTGAGGTGATTTGTATAATTGTAGTGATTATTTCACAATATATACAAATATCAAAAAATCTAGTTATACTCATGAAGTATATGTGATTCCTATTTGGCAATTATACATCAATAGGTGTATAACTGTATAACTTTGAAAATTTAAAAACAGAAAAAAATGCTGATGGTACTAGCTAAAATATGACTAATTCCCAGTGCAGATGAGCATTTCTTCACATGTGTTTCTACTTGTAAAATATATTACAGTGAGATTTATAGTTAGACTATTTTTTAATTTATAGTTGCATCTCAATTGCATGGAATGATGAGTTTCGTTGTGATATGTTTGCACATACATAAAAACAAAATGGGTCAATTTCACTCCCAAATTCCCCCAAACCTCCTGTCTCTCACCCCTCCAATCTCCTCTCTCTCCCCACTCCTATCCCTGGATGTTAATGGTGGTCACTCTTCAATCTGCAGTTAGATTATTGTGTTTCAAATCACTTGGGTTGCTAAATTTGTAATAATTGGGGAAAATTTAGTTACATTTTTAATCAATAATTAGTTAAGTTCTTTATAATCAGATATATATTCTATCTGATTTAAGTACTTTGAAATATTTATCAATGGATGTTATGCTCCAGTGTATTTTGGTGAATGTTCTTTAAACACATGGAAATATTTAGAATCATCCTACCCCTGTTTTTTCATTCCCTGATCCTCTACTAATACACATACTATCAATTGTTGCATTTGAAACTATGTGATAAATATGAGCTTTTTTTTTGAGCGGTGAACCCACTTCATCTGCACTTGAATGGATTTTTCAGTGACTTGTCCTCTGAAATCAGTTCCCCTCACTATCTGATTGTGGGTACAGAAGTCAACTGAAAACCCAGAAGTTAAACTGTATGCTCACTGAATTCACCTATTTTGCAGGTCACAATTTTTATAGGAAAGTTTGTACAATTTCATTTCTGTTCACACTAGACTCCTTTTGGTGATTTGACCTCAAGATGTTCATTTAGGATCTTTTCCCCAGAGCCCATGTTTTTGTAAATCTTGTTCTGCATAGTTATTATTCTTGTGGCATCTCTGGAGATACATAGTCTACACTCAGAATTATACTGAAGGTCCCAATGAATTTAATTAGAGAAAAGTCACCCTTGGAGAGGCAGCACTTGCATGATTTGACAATATGTGCTGTGGTTCAAATCTAGATAAAGTGTGCTCAGACCTCTGCCCTTACCTCAAAGATGGTTGTCTACATCAATATTCACTTGACTAGTTTTTAAATTGAAATGATAAACTAGAAATATAATAAGATAGGGATCAGAATTATTCTTCATTGTTTAGACAATCCAAGATTCAGTTATGCTGCATGAAAACAGACTAGTATACCTGACTAAGAATCAAAATGCTTTAAAGGCTATTTCATTTGTAATAGTATAAAATACAAATTGCAAAAGTTGTTTTCGTAAGTTTTTCTATGTAATTTTAATAATCACTAGGGGTCCTTTGTGATTGCTAAAATACATTTTTGTATTTTGAATTGACTCAAATCTGTAATATTATTTTTGGATATTTTAATATTATAAAATCCCAGAATGAATTTATTTTCTCTAACTGATTTGTTCTTAGAAACTAATTTCAAGTGGAACCATTTGGGAGATATTCTAATGTACAGGTAGGTGTTTGTGAATCACCTCATAAGGCCAACTGAATTATTCTCTAAGTATTTTTTGGCATGTTAAAAATTAGCGGATGATGTAACATCTGTGACTTTCAAGAACCCATTGTAAAACGTAAGTCAGCAAGCTGTTACTTTAGGTCAGAAGAATAGCAGATCTCCTGCCAAGACTGAGGTGACTATTGGATTCAGTAAATCATAGGGTTGTGTATACAGGGCTTGGATGTGGAGCGCTCGCTTGAAAGAGATGTGGGCATGAATGGATTTGGATATTTCTTTTTAAATAGGCTTAGAGAATTATGCAGAAGAAGCAGAAAAAATGATGATACAGGAAATGGAGGGAGAAATTATAGGAGCCATGTACTGAAGAATGGTAGTGGAGACCAGATCTATTGCATGAGCAAAGAGATGGAAGGTGGTTGGGAACACAGACAATCCACGTTTATGAAGAGCAAGCAGGGGAGAATTATGCAGTCAGAAGGAAGTGACTATCAAGAGAGGATTATGAGTAACTGATTGTCATTACTAGAATTATTTTAAGGGATAACTGGGCTAGTGAATGTTGATTTTACTGATTATGTAAGGTTGTGTGTGTGTGTGTGTGTGTGTGTGTAATCTCTCTTTCTCTCTCTGTGTGAGTCTCTCTCTAGCTTGGATTCTCCTCTCTTGTCATTTTCATCCTTTTACACTCAATTCCTTGCTTCTCCCTGCATCAATAACACAGATGTAAGAATGTTTGCAACAAAACACATATCTCTCCATATTTTTCCATACTAATAAAATTATAGACATTTGTAAGTGGATGAATGTATGATATTTTTATTATTGCTTTATAACAATCTTATTATACACAATTCTATGTTTGTTTATTTCTTATTAAACAATAACCTGGGACATTTTCTTTAAGAATATTAACATAGCTGTAATTATTATTTTTAAATGGCTATTTTCCATTTGATAGAAGTTCTATTCAAGCATTTCTTTATTGAAATTCACTTTGAATTTGGAAGTTTTATTTTTTTAGATGCCATTAAAAATAAAGCCTCAAAACCTGCCATGAAAATATCCTATGTGCTGGGGATTTTATTTTTATGGAGTAGATTTTATGGAACAGAAGTGTCATTACAGATATAAAATGTACATGTATTTTTACTTTCAGAATTTGTCAAATTATATCAAAACTGTTATACAATTTATATTTTGCTAGCAGTGTAAGAAAATTTCCTTTTCATTTTTACCAACTACATTTTTGTCAGTCTGATGGATATAAAGTAATGTCTTTTCTTAATTTTTAATTTTTCTGTTAACCGGTGAGTTTCAGCATCTTATTCTATGTTTCGTGGCCATATGGATGTGTTTCTCTTTTAATTGATTATTCATATCCTTGTTCTACATTACTATTTATTTGTCTTTTATGTATTAATTGCTTAAAGCCCTTTGTCTATTTTAGATATTACCTTTCTGTATGTCTTCTAAAATGTACATCTTGGCTCCACATACCTTTTTACTATTGGCTTTATGATATCCTTTGCTAAATTATTAAAAAAAAATTTGATTTTGTCAAATGTACTTATTTGGAATTTTATTATTTGAGAAGATTGCTCTTTCCTTTTTTTTCATGGTTCTGGATTTGAACCCAGGGCCTCATGCATGCTGGGCAAGCACTCTACAAATGAGCTCCCTGAGATTTTACTAGGCCTAGAAGGTGCAAAGTCATCTCCCTTTTATTAACCTAAAAATAAATATAAACTAAAGCTTGCTTTAGTTTTATGTTGGATCTTTAATCCATTTTCATTTTATTTTTATTTATAGTATTATCCATATTTGCAATTTTACTAGATACAAGTGGAAATCTAGTTGCGGCAGAGTCATTTATTTAAAAATCATTCCCTACATATGCCTTTAATTTCTTATTCCTCTCTCTTTAGTCTGTAAGATCTCTGAAGCTATGCATAATGCTTTAATCACTCTTATAATTTTATAATCTCTGACAGGCCTAAAACATAGTAAGTTGTAATGCCTATTTATGTAATACATAAGGAAGTTATCCTTAAATTTCATAGTCACTAGTAATAAATCTATTTGCAGATAATTTTGTTCTTATCAGTGAAATAATGACATCCAGAAGAACACATGGAACACAGGAACAATGTGACCGAATTTGTCCTCTTGGGGCTCACTCAGAGCCTCCAGGGTCAGAGAATATTATTCGTGGTGTTCTTGGTCATCTACATGGTGACGATGGCAGGCAACCTACTCATTGTTGTGACTGTGGTGGTCAGCCCGGCCTTGGATGCTCCTATGTACTTCTTTCTTGGCTACTTATCATTTATGGATGCTGTTTATTCTACTACGGTTACCCCGAATATGATTATAGACTTACTCTATGAGAAGAAAACCATTTCCTTCCAAGCTTGTATGACCCAGCTTTTTATAGGACACTTATTTGGTGGTGCTGAGATTTTACTCCTGGTGGTCATGGCCTATGACCGTTACGTGGCCATCTGCAAACCTCTGCATTATCTGACCATCATGAACCAACGGGTGTGTGTTCTACTCCTGCTGTTGGCCTGGGTTGGGGGTTTTGTGCATGCTGTAGTTCAACTTCTCTTTGTTTACAACCTTCCCTTTTGTGGCCCCAATGTCATTGACCACTTCATCTGTGACATGTACCCCTTACTAAAACTTGCCTGCACTGACACCTATGCTATTGGCCTTACAGTGGTTGCCAACGATGGGGCGATCTGTGTGGTCATCTTTGTTCTCTTGCTTATTTCCTATGGGGTCATCCTGCATTCCTTGAAGAATCTTAGTCAGGAGGGGAGACGCAAAGCCTTGTCTACCTGTGGCTCACACATCACTGTGGTGATCCTCTTCTTTGTTCCTTGTATTTTTATGTATGTGAGACCTCCTTCTACCTTACCCATCGATAAATCCTTGACTGTGTTTTACACTGTTATCACCCCTATGTTGAACCCCTTAATCTACACCCTAAGAAATGCAGAGATGAAAAATGCCATGAAGAAACTCTGGACTCCAAAACGAACGTGAGGTGGCAGAGAAACGTAACACTCATTTTCAACAAAGAGCTGTTTCTTTCGGGAAAGCCATGTATCATTCTTTCATTGTAGTAAAATTTCTTTCAGGTGTAGTAATTGTGCATGACCACAAGTTTTCGGTATGTGAATTTTCCAATGATCCACATATATTTTTAAGATTGTCAGGATTGTTTTGGAAAACACATGTTCATTTTTTGGGTATAAAATGGTTCTCTTGAGACTATAGATTTATGTGCCATAATTGATATTGTAATTTTATTTTACTTAATGGAAGATGTTCTCAATTATTTTTTTAAAAAAAATCAATCTTTTTTCAGAATTAATAGTGCTTATCAAAAATTTGAAAGAATAAAATAAGAAATAATATGTAAATATTTTATAAATACTTGGTCTATTCCTTTCCTAACTAATGCACACAACATTAATAAATCATTTTAATGTTGAGGTACATACTTTATTTTTGTAAGAGATTTCAAATAAAACCTTTTGTTCATATTGCTTAGCATATTAGGGTTGAAAAGGCATAATACTTCAGTTTTAATATTCATCATAGGAAATTAAGAATATAAAAGAATATGAATGAAGAAATGCAGAAAAACAACTAAATTGTACTTATTTTCCCAGTTGGAAAATCACATGAATACCTCAGATGAAGTAGTTGTGTTGGATGTCATGTTTTTCATAAGGATAAAAATACTCCATTAATCTTCCCATACAGTTTAGAATATCTGATGAGGCCTCTACTATTTTTTGACATGCCCATCTCTTTGTTATAGGTTTATGGCCTTCAAAAAGAGACCAGGCTCTATCTTTCATATGCAAAGTTATCAGAATCCTGGAGGTACAAGCATATAATGCAAAGATTGACACTAGATATTTTGGGAAATACTGGCAAGAAAGATGCTGGCAATAAAGATTAATTTTCATTCTAATCCCTGTATTTTAACTTTTTCAAATTATACAATTTTACGATTAAACATAAAATTTTAATTCTACATATTTATAGAAAATATGTGATAATTTACACATGCATACAATGTGTAATATTAAGTCAGGGTAATTAGCATATTTATTTTCTTAAACTTAAAAAAAAATGTTTGATTAACACCAAGAATTGTACATATTTATTGGGTACAGTATGATTTTATGCAGTATATAATAAGGTACTTAATGTTTCTATCTTCTTGTCATTAGTTTGTGTTTGGAGATTTCAACCTTCTTTATTAATACAGTATGGATTATTCAGTAATAAAGAGTTTAGACATATTGTTTTATTTGATAGACTTCTCATTTATACAATCTTTGTGACATTTTTTCTGACTCAGGCTTGAAATAAATTATTGTCTGCTCCTAATATGGTAAAAAATCTTGCCAAAGAAACTCATTTTTCCTGTTTCCCCTGTTTAGTTCATATTCATAAGGCACAGAGACTTTGGAGAAATGAATGTTTTTACTGATAAATCACACTGTATGAATAATTTGTAATATCATTTTGTCCACATTATTATTACATGGAGATTTATTATATCATTTCAAATTGTTTCCAAATATAGACTATTCCACAAATAACATTCATAGTTTATTCAATCCATTCCTCCATATTTGGATATGCAATTAACTTTCAAATTTTATTGAATTATAATGAGTGATGAGATAAACCTAATTATCTTTTTATGTTCACTGATGGATTTTGATGAATTCTTTCTGTATTAAATATGCAATATATATACTCTTCTTTGACATGTGCAATACATATTTACCTTATTATGTTATCATTGAGTTTTTTATATACAGATGTTTTATCTTAATATCTTTTACTTTTTCAATGCTACTATCAATGTACATGAAAAGCCTCCATTTCCTGCCAGTAACGTTACAAATTTTGACATCTAATTTTTAAATAACTTTTCAGGAAATTTTCTGTTCCAACCTATCAGTGATTTATTTTGTTATAAGGATATATCTATGCTTATTTCCCTCAAGTAAGTAAATAATCTGCCAATGCAATTTGTTCATTATTAATTTATCAGTAATAATATGAAATTTCTGTTGATATGTCAAATTTTACATCTAGAATGTTTAAACTTGAACTATTTCTTTATTATTTTCTTAAAAAATCATCTATCACTAACACACTATTTCAATGGTCAAGGATTTTTCATACTCATTTCTACATATTAGGGATAGTTTCTACCAAATACTCACCCTTTTCAAAAATTTTTTGCAATTCATAAGCACTTAGTCTTCCTGACAAAACTCAAGATTATTTTGTAAAATTTAAAAACTTAGAATAAAATTAAATTTAGAACTACAGGATATTCCATATTAACTTTGAAGAATGTAGTATATAATAATGTCTACTTTTCTCATCCAGAATATTACACTATTATTAAGCCTTGATCTATAAATCTCAACTGAGTTTTAATCATCATCATAGATTCTACTTATTTGCCTTTTTTTCTCATTTAAAAGGGCATTTTATTTATGTTTGATTTCCGTTTTTAATGAAGTGATCAGAAAGGACTCAGTAACTTCTATTGCCAGTAATTGCAGTATAATGCCACAGGCCTAGATCTGTATATAGACATATGTGTCTGACCACATGGCAGGCTGTATCTGATTACATGCTTGGGTCTGCATTTAACATATTAATCTGTATGGGCACATACAGGCTTGTATCCAATAATACCTTTGACTATATCTGTCTGAATGCAAGCACCTTTGCATGAATACACACAGATCTATATTTGATAACACATACATCAGTATATAATATTTGTTACAGTATCATCACACACTGAGATTCCACTTTTAAACATTATTTCATATAAGGCAAGGTTCCAGCCTTTTGTTACTTAAAATAATTACTATTTCATTTTATTTCAAAATTTGGGGAGCTTGGAATTCAGGAGTTGCTGGAGTTAATTAGGCATTTCTTCTGCTTCATGTGGTGTGGACTGAAAATATTCTATATCAGTGAGCTGGTAAATGGGTGAATCTCAAGATTTAACTTAAAATAAGTTAAAAAGATCAAATTTATACAGAAATAAAACAAAATAGTAGAAATCAGGATACTAGGGTAAGTTTTATGAAGGAGGAAATCAGGAAACATGTATCCAAGGATGTAAAGTACCAGATATGAATAGGTCAAAAGATCTAATGCACAGCCCCAGGATTATAGTTAATAATAGTGTATTGTGTTCAGAATTTTTGATAAATTAGTAGACTATAGTTGTTCTGATAATACCATGTTGTTGTACCTTCGATATATATAATAAAATTTATTTTAAAAATTATTCTATGTACTTTGGGGGAATCCACAATTTCCACTTTAATACAAACAGGTCTTTCATAATAGAATAATAGAATTTCAGAATACAAATAATACAAATAGAATACAGATAGAATACAATAGAATACAAATAGAATAATAGAATTTCAGAATACAAACAGGTATTTCATAATAGAATTCTGTCACTTGATTTCTTAATCAACTATTCATGACAGGCTTGATTGCTTTAGCAAATGGTCTAGTCCAGATAAGAATGAGCCAGGCCTTCCCTTGCTCTGGGTGATGTTCTTGGGTGAGATAACTCCGTCTGGGCCCTGGATGAGATTCCCCCACCTGACACTGAACCATTGATGCACAGCCCCTGGAAGTATCAGAGAATCAGGACTCAAGATTGTCTAGATACTACTGGAAAACATTTATATGTATATATGCATTTTTAAAAGCTGTAGCTGCCATATAAGATAGTGATTTTTCTCCTAGACCTGACAAAATAAGTTGAAAACCTTCTGGAAAGGATCCACCATTGTAAACACTACTAAAACATTCATGATTCATGGAGGAGACCAAAATAGCAACATTAACAGGAATTTGAAAGTTGATTCCAACCCTCATGGATGACTTTGAGGGTTATAGACTTCATTAAAGGAAGTAACTGCAAATGTGTTGGAAATAGTAAGAGAACTAGATTCAGGAGTGAAGTCTGAAGAGGTGAACAGCTTGCTGCAAACTCATGATAAAACTTCACATATGAAACATTGCCTCTTGTGGATAAGAGAAAAACAAAGTGATTTCTTAAGATGGAATGTATTTCTGAAGAATATGTTTGGAATATTGCTGAAATGACAAAAAATGGTTTAGGATATTGTCTACATTACAGGGTTAAAAGTCATTGATGTCAATATTGAAAGAAGTTCAGCTATGAGTAGAATGCTATCAACCATCAATGCATACTATGGCAATTTCATGAAAGGAAGAGTCATTCAGTATAATCTCTCGGAGGTATGCCTGCATATGGTGTTGTACTGCCCTGCTCACCATTTACAAAAAAAAAGGGTTTAGGATTTATTTCTCCAGTTAAGACTGCTGTTAGGAACCTTCGGATGTTATCCTCCTTAAGGTGTGCACAAGATGCATAAACCCAGTTTGCAAAGGACTCGTGCCCTATTACCTCCACTTCAATAGTTAGGCTCCAGTGTCACTAGACTGCAACTAGGAAATGTGGTGTTGTTCTAAAAGGAAGAAGATTGTTCAATTGCAATTGCAGAAACTAGATAATATATTTGGGTAAGAATTAGAAGAATGTGTGTGGAAATAAATTTTGTATATAATGGAATGAAGAAGGGCAAAGTATCAGGCCACATGGGAGGATGTTTGTTAGTGTGGGGATATTGTCTCACAAGGATACATGGTGCCCTAGGTGTGCATTATGACTCAGATGTAATGAGTGGTCTTCTAAGTGTCCTCATATGAGGACTCAGCCTTTAGTAGGCCATTCTAAAGTTTAATTCTGTCAATTACTTAAGCTGAAAGGAAATGTTTTTACACTAGTGAATTCTATGCCTGTGGGTAATTTGCTTTACTTTATTTACCAGAGTAAATGTTCTGTAGTTAAGAATGAGTTGACTTGAAATGACAAGGATTTTGAAGGAGACCCTCAGAGTTATACAAAAGTACATACAAGAGGAAGTGAGGGGAAGGGGAAAAATAATATAAGGGGGACAAACGAATGTCAGTAGAGGGAGCAGAGAGAGAAGAGGGGAGGGGAGGGGAGGGGGGATAGTAGAGGATAGGAAAGGCAGCAGAACACAACAGACACTAGTATGGCAATATGTAAATCAATGGATGTGTAACTGATGTGATTCTGCAATCTGTATATGGGGTAAAAATGGGAGCTCATAACCCACTTGAATCAAATTGTGAAATATGATATATCAAGAACTATGTAATGTTTTGAACAGCCAACAATAAAAAATTAAAAAAAAAAAAAGAAATGACAAGGATTTTGAAAAATGTTTCTTGTGCATTTGAAAAGAATGTGGACCTTTCAGTTATTGTGTGCACTGTTCTCTTATCTCATTAGATCAGTTATGTTAATGATGTTTAAAGTTAAAACATCTTTAAGAACACGTACACATATTCTTGCATTTATAAGTTGTGCTTAAGTTTTGTATTATTGCTGATTTGTCTGTTTCTCCTTTTAATTCAATCAATTAAAATGTCTTAGTTTTTGTCTGATATTTGCACAGAAACTATGTTCTTTTGTTCAGAATGTGTGCAGCTTATTCCACTATTTTACCCTTATCTTTTTATTTTGTTATTTAAGATGTTTTCCTCTTAAGGCTCTTCCCATTAAATTCTGTTTTATAGGCAGGGGAAATTTGCTTATTAATTTTTTAAGCAAAATTGGTCATGTATTTTGATATAAATCCATCATATTCTTATTTGCTTTGCATTTATTGATGTCACATCTAGGTAAGATTCATTTGGATTTATTCCCCTTATTACCTTTTCAGTAATAACAACTTTTTTTCTTTTTTGGTGTTGGGTGCAGAACCAGGGCTTTGCACATGCTGAACGTGTGCTCCACCACTGAGCTTCACCCTCTGCCCTCCATTCTTTCCTGCATTTCCTTTTTTCTTTTTTTTTTTCCAGTTTAGAACTTTCTCCTTCTTCCTGAAGATTGTTCCACAGATCTCTCTCTATAGCATAGTTGGTTGGTGGTAAAAATCTCTTGTGTTGTCATTCAATCAGGAAAGTCTTTGTATTTTGCAATCATTTCTTTGGGTTTTTTAAATCAATATTTAAAGCTATGTTGAGATTCATTTTCATTTAGCATGGTGAAGATGCCGTTTCTTTTATCTTCTGGTTTTTAATACTTCTTTTAAGAAATTGCACAGTCTTATTCTCCAGAAAACTAGAAAAATAGTCCTAAAATTTATTGGGAAGAATAAAAGATTCACTAGAGCCCAATCAATGCTAAGCCAAAAAAGCAAATCTGGAGGCATCACAATGCCTGACTTTGAATTATAGTACAGAGCTGTAGGAACATAAATTGCTTGGTTCTGGATAGCAATAGACACATAGATCACTGTTGCAGAATAGAAGACATAAAGCAAACCCACGCATCTACAGTCATCTGATCCTTGACAAAGGTGCCAGAAACGTGCATTGGAGAAAAGGCAGCCTTTAAAAAAAAATGGTGCTAGGAAAACTGGTTATCCATCTGTAGAAGAATGAAATTAGAGCCTTATCTCTCACCAAGCACAAAAGTCAATTTATGGATTAAAGATCTAGGAATTAGACAAAAAAAAAAAAAAACCCATGAAATTCCTGGAAGAAAATGTGGGTCAAACTCCAGCTTTTAGGACACAGACAATGATTTTTTAACAGAATCCCTAACGCTCAGGAAATAATGCCAATCTGCACAGCAAAGGAAACAACTAGAAATGCAAAGAGAAAACCTACAAAATGGGAGAAAATCTTTGTCATTCTCTGACAGAGGTTTAGTATCTAGAATTCATAAAGAACACAGAATATTAACAGTAAAAACCAAATAACTCAATTAAGCCAATTATCAATTAGAGAAATGAAAATTAAAACTGTACTGATATTTCATCTCATACCAGTCAGAAAGGAAGCCATCAAGAAAGGAAGCAATATTAAATGCTGGAGAAGATGTGGAGAAAAACCAACACCTTGGCACTGGTGGTGGAATTGTAAATTAGCACAACCACTAGGGAAATCAGTGTTGTCATACATACTTCTGAGGTTTCTCAAAAGACTACCTATGAAACCACCACATGATCCAGCTATACCACTTCTTTGTATTTATCCTAAAGAGTTGAAGTCATCTTACTATAGTGATACAAATATACTCATGTTTAAAGCAGCACAATTCACAATAACCAAACTGTGGAACCAGTAGTAGTCCATCAATGAATTAATGGATAAAAAAATGTGGTATATATACACAATGGAGTTTTATTCAGTCATAAAGAAAAATGAAATTATAGTATTTATTGATGAATGGACATAATGAGAGAACATCAAGCTAAGTAAAATAAGCCAGACTCTAAAAGTCAATTGTCATATGTTTTCTCTCGTATATGGGAGCTAGAGATGAAAAAGAAAAAGAAAATTTGGGGTGGAGCTTATGAAAATCAAAGGAGATCAGTAGAAGAAGGGATGTGAGAAAAGAAGAGGAATTACTGGAGAGTGATATTGGCCAAATCATATAACTATATTGTATGCCAGTAGGAATATGTAAAATAAAATCCCATCATTATGTACAAGTATAATATACCAGTAAAAAGTGTAGGTAGAAAAAAATTGCCAGTCTTATATTTATTTTCCTGAATACAATGACTCCTTAAGAACTTCTGTGAGTCAGCCTCCTTATGTCAGAGAAAACATCTGGCATTTGTTTTTTGGGACTGGCTAACTTCATTTAGCATTATCTTCTCCAACGTCATCCATGATTTTATTCTCTTTTCTCGCTGAGTAAAATTCCATTGTGTATATATGCCACATTTTTTTTATCCACTCATCCACTGAAGGGCATCTAGGTTGGCTCCATAGTTTAGCTATTATGAATTGTGCTGCTATAAACATTAATGTGGCTGTGTCCCTGTAGTATGCTATTTTTAAGTCTTTTGGGTATAGACCGAGAAGATGGATAGATGGTTCAAATGGTGGTTCCATTCCCAGCTTTGTACAGCAAAAATAAGTAAATAAATAAATACATAAAGCAAAAAATTAAAAATCAGTCTATATACTGGGAGAAAATATTTGCAAGCTATATTAATTAAGGCATCATTATTAAAAAGTATACAAGCAATTCATACACTCATTAGAAAAAAATAAAGGAAAATACCTAATTAAAAATGGGCAAAGGAGACTCGGGTTGTGACTCAGTGGTAGAGTGCTTGACTAGCACATGTGAGGCACTGGATTTGATTCTCAGCACCACATATAAATAAATAAAATAAAGGTCCATTGACAACTTAAAAAAAATGGGCAAAGGAACTAAATAGACATTTTCCCCAAGAAGATATATAAATGGCTAACAGGTATATAAAAGAGGCCCAACATTATTAACTAATGCAAATTCAAATGAAAATTATAATAAAATATCACTTTATACCTGTTAAGATGACCATTATTAAAAAAATAAGTATTGGCAAGATGAATGAGAAAAGGGAACTCATACAATATTAGCATAAATATAAGTTGCTAACGGAGATTCCTCAAAACATTCAAAATACAGCTACTGTATAATCCAGAAAGCTTAGTTCTTAGTATATTTCTACAGGTTTTTAAAGCTGTATATCACAGACATCTGTATTCTCATTTTCATTATGTTATTTTCACATAGCCAAGATAGGGAAACAATCTAAATGCGTTAAAGGACAAATGAATAAAGAAATCGTGATATACATGTGGAATGTTGTTTTAGTAAAAAAAAAAAAAAAAAAAGAAAGGCCTTCTGTGGTTGTATTATGATTACTTCATCTAATTATTCTTTGTGTAAAATTTGTTTTTTTAAAATATATTTTCATGAAATTGTTAACTTCCCATGAACTTAAAATTTAATATCTTTTAATAGTTTCAGAAAAATTACAGGCCATATCTGCTCAAATATTTTGCCTACTCTTCCTATTTTCTTTCTCTTCTCTTTCTGGAATTGTAATTAAATTAAGTATATAAGTATATGTTACAGTTTTTTGTTTGTTTTTTGAATGCTAGGGATCAAATCCAGGGTTTTGTGCATGATAGGTAAGCACCCTATCACTGAGTTATCTTCCCAGCATTATTCTAAAAATTTCATACTTTTTTTGTATTTAATTTATATTACTTCCTGAATCTATTTATTGTTTTTCTTTGGTATGCATATTAAATCTTTCTTACAATTTGCCAATTCTTTATTCTCCTTTGTCAAATCTGCTATTAAATCCAACCAAATCCTTAATTTCATTTGGTATGTATTTTAGTGTTTATAAATCAATTTATTATCTATCTGTGATTTACATATTTCTGCACACTGAGCCGATTTTAAAATGCTTATTTTTTCATTATCTGAATAATTTTTGTTTTTATTGTTCTCTTCAATCAGCCTTTATCTTCTATTCTTTCTTTTTACTCGAATGCCATATTTTGTGTATAAAAATTTGCAGAAAATTCAAGACTTTTAAATGTTGCTTTCTTCTTTAAGAGAGGATTTCCTGCGTTTCTAGCTGGTATTTAGGGTTGAAGAAGTAATAACCCCAAATAACCTTAATCCAATCAGGAGATGAGATAATGGAAATGTGTCTGAGTTCCTTTAAGGAACATTGTAGTGTTTACTGCCACCACTTCAGGGGTTAAAGCCCATGTGGTCTCATGAAAATCCTGGCCATGTACAAAGGACAATTCTCTACTTTGTGGCAGACCATGATTTCATTTGTCTTCAGGGTACAAATTCTAAAGAATGTTCCTCCCTGATTTTTAAGCTTTCATTTGTGACTTTAAAAATCATCCCATATCTTTGAGAAAAGAGACCCCAAACACAGTTTAGCTATCTGATTTTCCTTCTAAAATTTGGCCTGACAAATACTTCATTTCTTATTAGTTTTTAATGCTTTCAAGCACATGAATTTTATATTTTTTTCTAGCTTTCCTGATTTATCTTATTTGAAGATTTATTGCAGAACAGGTGATTTTTGCTTTAAAGATATACACACACACACACACACATACATATATACACACATACATACAGTGTTCTAGGATTGGCAATAGATGTGAATTAAGCAGAAATACTGTGTATTCATTTTTGGAGGATGTATCTACAACTGCTGATATTTTCAATGTCTTTTTCATACTGGAGCAAATACATTCTGAATATGGACTGTCATAGGCATTGTCTGATTTGCTAAATGTTTTTTACCTCATTCATAGAAGCAGAAAGCATTACTAGTTCTTTGAATTCAGCTGGAAATTCTCTGTTTTGCAGTTATAATTTATGCCACAGTAACTGAGATTGTGTAATACAGTTTTTCAGAATTAAATATATGCTTATGTGCATTTTAATACTTATTAATAAGAGAGGCACAATGCTTAGTGTTCTTTATCTTAGAAGAAAAGCATACTACATTTTGAGTTCCTGAATTCAATCATTTGTAAGGTAAGTTGAAAACTGCCAAATTTTGGTAGATCTCATTACCTGATGATCTTTACCTGGTTCAGAATTATATTTAAATAATCCTGTACTTGAGGCATTGTGAAGCAAAAGGTCCAATACATGCCTACACATATAGTGGGATTTGCTTGGTGGAGGTGATGAAAAGCCAGGTTTAGGGAATGACAGTGGAAGCTAGTATGAGCATCCCAGTGGGTTAGGTCCGCTGTGTGGCCGCTTTGGCTCCGCAGAATCTGAGCTCCAGTGGAAATTGCCTGCAGCACCTTGGTTGCTCCTTTGGGGTCTCTTGGGGCTCAGGGGCTCACCTCCAGCCTGAAGGCACTAGGGGCTGGAGACTGAAGTCCCGCCAGACACAAAATGGCTGTGAAATTGTGGACAATCATTCCTTGCCTTTGGAGAGGGAAATACTTCAGCTCCAGGAATGAACTGGCAGAAAACAACTGGGTGACCCGATGCTGCAGCATCTTATGTACAAAATAAAGTCTACTGGTCCCATCACGGTGGCCAAGTAGATGAAGGAGGTGTTGACCAACCCAGCCAAGGAACATTATGTACACCATGACTGCTAGGAGAAAAAGGAAATTTCATTACTTTACCTGAAAGAAATCAGATCTTTGGGGAGCTAATAGGTATATGGTTCATTAGTGAATGAATAACTGCTGGAAAATGTGCACCTTTTTAGCTGGTAGAACTGGGGCCCAAGTTGGGGTCCCCTCACAGGAGATATTTTGAGGGTGTTCAATTTAGATCTGTGCTGAAAAACTGACATTTCAATACACTTTGTAGAGTAAAAATTAAGTGAGACTCATGCACTAACACTGACTAAAGAGAAGATCCCCTTAGAGTGAAATGCTGAATCCCTAGTACACATGAAGTGTTTTTCTAAGTCTGGGATTCCAATTTCCTGGGGCCAAGACCTACAAGATGTTCGAAAGGATACAGCTTTTCTCTGGCGCATGAATTTTTTGATGTTCTTCCTGTCCATAAATTTCGGAAAACACTACAAGGATGGAGAGAAGTATTCATTGATACAGATCCACAGGTTTCCGATAAATTGAGTTTTGTTTTAGCTCCTTGTACCACCCCTGCAGAAGCTGTCATGATGAAACAAGGGATTGTGTTGAAGTATGTCCTGATGTTAGGGTTATTATTCAGGAAGTTTTTCAATACATTGCATTAACTGGAGGTGCTATACTGACTGCTGATTATGGTCATGATGGAATGAAGACTCACCTTCAGAGGATTTTGTGGCCACAAGCTTCATGATGTCTTAACTGTCCCTGGAACAGCAAACCTTACAGTTGATGTGGATTTCCATTATTTGTGCAGAATGGCATAAGAAATAGTAGCGTCTTGGGGTCCAATAGAACAAGTAACATTTTTGAAAAATATGGGTATTGATGTGCGGTTGAAGGTTCTTTTAGATAAATAAGATGAACCATCAATGAGACAGCAATTACCTCAGGGATATGATATGTTAATAAATCCTAAGAAGAAGGAAGAAAGATTTAACTTTTTTGCCTTGCTACCTCATCAGAAACTTCAAGG